GTTCTGTCAAGGAGGCTTACATCTAACCTTAAATCAATTGGCAATAGATAGAGTTGCCTTTCTTGTATTTAACCCGCATACCTCTTTGTTATACACTTGATGTGGGATTTCTCTACTTAACATACCCCTCATATGCTCAATATGAGATTTTCCCACTCAACACACCTTTTTACGTATAAGGCTGCTATGAATGTCAAGTCTTATCACATGGTCCTTACATGTAGACCTAGTATTAACTTTGAGTTCTATTAGGTTAGCTAACAACAGACTTCTCAAGATGAAACTTAGACTCTGATACCATATGGAAATTAAGTATGTAGGCATCAACACAAGGCTTACATCTAACCCAAAACCAATTGACAATAGGTGGAGTGGCCTTCCTTGTATTTAACCCACAAGCTTTTTCCTTACATACTCGATGTGGAATTTTCTCACTCAACACACCCCCATCATGTGTAGGTTTGCTATGAATGTTAGGTTCTATTACGTGACTTAATATGCCCCTTACTGCAAGCCTATTATCAACTTCAAGTCATATTAGGTGGGCTAATAACAGGTTTTCTAAGATAGAACTTGGGCTCTAATACCATGTAAAAATTGTGTATGAGGGCTTAATACATGGCTTACATCTAACCTAAAACCAATTAGTAATAGGTGGAGTAACATTCCTTATATTTAACCCACATACTTTTTCATTATATACTCCACATGGGATTTTCCCACTCAACATATATGTGCCGAAATTTATTAGACAATTTCTTTTGTTTTTAATTGTCTATTAACAAAGTTGAGTTCTCTACTCTCAAAAAAACACTAATTCGACAAATATCAAACTTCACATCATATGAATCAAAGCTGTAGGTACAAACATCAAACATTATGTTTGAGATACATTTCTTAGAAATATGTCCTCACTATCAAGGAGTCTATATCACGCAAACTTCAACAGTGGCAAGATTCAATACAATAATGCGTCAACAATTTTTGAGAAAACAATCTACCAACCAGCTTCTAAGGCTTGAATCTCGACACTGCCTCTTTGACTTTCTTTGAAATCACATGCAATATCCACAACACTAGTATGATGTCTTTGAATCTAGTTCGTAGATACGAGGTATTGTCCAAGAGACTGTAAATCATAAATAAAAATGTAACGGAAGTTTAATAATTGCAGAAAATTGTGAATAAAATTTTAGTAATATACATATTTGAGAAACTACGAAAATAATTTTAATTAGTTAATAGATTAAATTAAAATTAATATTTACACTTTTCATACAAATTAATTATAAAATAATATATTAATTGCACATTAAACATGTACTATAAGAGCACATGTTAAAAAAAATTGATTTTAAAATCAATTCAAGAAGGCAAGCTATTTATCAACTTGAAAAAACTACAAAAATAATTTTAATTAGTTAATTAATTAAATCAACATCAGCATTTACACTTTTCATACAAATTAATTGTAAAATAATATATTAATTGCATCTTAAACATGTACCATAAAAGCACATGTTAAAAAAATTATTTCTAAAATCAATTCCAGAAGCCAAGCTATTTATCAACTTGGAAAATTGAAACCTATAAATATTAATTTGGCTGATACAGGAGTCTAAAGAGTAATAATAAGAAGAGTAGAGTTTTTCCTCTCTCTTGTATGTTTCTTTTTCTCTAAAAATGAGTTTAACTTTATGAGAATTTTATAAATATTTTGATCTTTAAGAGCATTTTTTGGTTTGACGAAGTTTTAAGTTGATAGGTGACAATTAATTGGTGTAATTTTTATAAGTTTTTTTTAAAAAAACATTATATAAAAAAAGTTCTTTTATTTTTTGTGTAATGATATTTGTTATAATTATTGTAGATTTTATTTTTTTCTAATTTGCATAAATTTTTTTTTCCTTTTTCTCTATTTGAAATTATTTTGATAGTAATTATTTTTTTTAGTTTATCTATTTATGTGAAGAAAATCTATTTACTTTTGATAGAAAAAAAAAGTGGTCATGTTGTAAATCTAATAAATTAGGTTTAACAGAAACAATCTTACTTTTACTGGAATTAAAAGACTTTTTGAACCTATTAAGACATCACAAAACTAATTATTTAAGATCATTTTTTTCTTTTTTATTTATTTTATTTTACTGCTTGCTCACGTTTGAGTTTTATATTTAATGAATATTTATTCAGGTAGTTCAATCCTTTTGGTGTTAAACAACTGACATTTTCAATGTACAAAAAAAAAAAAAAAAAGAAGTTATTCTGGTAACCAAAAAAATTTATTGTCTGCTTCAAACAATAATTTTTTCTTAACAAATATATCCCAACAACTAGGGCTGTTCATATCTGATTTAAATTGATTAATTTGACCAACATTAACCTAATTTGATTAAAATTCAGTCTAAACAGACATCAATTTAATTTAGATTATAGAATTTTGAAACTAATATAAATGATTTTGTTTGTGATTTTAACTTTAAATTGACCGAACTACTTGCTAACAAAATAATTTAATTAAATAATATGATTATTTTTTTTTTTGTATTTTATGGTAAACATATTTTTAGATATTTTGGCAAATAAAGATATATTATATTTAAAAAAATTTTGTTTTTGTATACAAATTGTGTTTTAAATTTTCCTTTTCCTATTTCTTTAGTGCAATATTTTTTTTATAGTTGTAATATAATATTAATTGTATTAACTATTATTTGTTATTTTATTTTTGTATAATTGTACAACACTAGTACAATCTTAAGTCATCTCTACACAAATAAATGCTCTATTGTCAAAACTCTCTACCTTGAGCGGTAACAGCGTGAGCTTGCATGTCTTGACTGTCTTTTTAGTTCTTATTTTTTTTCTTTGGTCATTTTCTTAATTCTTACTTCAATCTAGTAATTGAAATTATCATTTTGTTATATATGATGTTATAATGTTTTATAATTATTAATTTTTCTTTAGTTTGATACTATGATTTTTTATTTGATCAAATATATTTAAAATAATTTTAAAAGTTGATCAATCTAACCCAATCTAACCTAACCACACTAATTTCATCTAAATTAAATTAATTTGGGTATTATATAATATTAAATTAATTTAGTTCGAAAATTTTACTAACCATATAAATTGACCTAGTTTTAAAAACTTTTAAATTCAATTCAATTTACAACACAAACACCTCTATTAATAACCCGCAAAGTGGGTTGATGATGCTAATAACAATAAATACAAGATTTACTTGAGTAGAAGAGAAATTACCAGGCAATTGAATACCATTCTTGTCGTTTGGTCGACTTCTCTACATCTCTTCCATTTGCGTCATCACATCTTTCTCCCTTGTAATTGGGCAAAAAATGCTTTGGAGATGATCAAGCTGATCCGATTTTTTCCACTTCATTGCTTCCCACCACTTACTTTCTCCTTTAATTATTTTCAGATCTCCACTAGACATTTCCCCTTTAGAAAGTCCCTTAAGCTTTGGGCAATTGTAAAAGCCTATTTTTTCTAGTTTTGGTGCAATTTGAAATCTGCTAGAAATGCTGACCAGCTTTGGTAAATAAAGGAGAGATACCCTTCTCAAGCTAGGAAGATAAGATCCTAGAGGGTCAACGGATTCATTGCTTGATAGGCTTACTACTTGTGTCACTTCAGGGCAGTCTTTGACAACGAGCACTTCCAACTTGCCAAGATTGGCAAGTAAAACTGAAGAGAAAATGACCCTCAATTTGGGGCATGTATGAAGTCCTAGAAACTTCAAGCCAGATAGACACTGCTTATCATTGGTAGGGGTTCTCCAAATGCTCACTAAATTCTTCAGGGAATAGATATGCAAGTACTGTAGATTCGGAAGCACAGCTACTTGAGCAGAATGTGACCCACCTCCAGATTCAGAATTGATTGTATAATCTTCTAACATGTCAGCTTCTTCTTCATAAGACTCGACACAACTTATGACGTTTTGGATTTCATTACATTCTACCAATAAGCATAACTCTAGCCTTTGCATATTCTTAATCCCAAAATCACATAAACTTCTAGCAGCCGTATGACGGTCCAAGCAAAATGCTTTTGTGCAGTGAAGTACCTTTTTCATCTCACTTGGGATATCCTTGCCCTTTACAAACTTCAAGCATCTCTTCCACTCTTGAAAGTGAGCTTCAACTTCTTTTGGGACTCGAGAGATGCTGCGTTGTCTATGCTGTCCAATAATAAACCTAAACGCAGGCAAGGGATAATAACTCAGTGATGTGCTGCCTATCCTGCGTTTTCCCAAACTCTCAACGTTAGGCAGGTACAAAATTAGACACTCCAAGGTTTTCAAGCTGCAGGCTTCCTCTATAACTGTTTCCACGACTTCATTCCAACGCTCATCATCTGGATTGGCATCAATGCTTAGTTCAGTCAACTGAGAGAGAGCTGATATTGTCCCCGGATTTATTAGTGCCTTTTGCCGCAATCTCTTTCCGCTGTTCATATATCCATAAAATGATACTCTCAGAATTTTTAATTTGGATAGCATCCCTGTTTGTTCCGGTAGATCCAAAATTTCAGTACCATCCAGATCAAGCACCTCAAGATTCTGAATTTCTCCAACTTGAGGAGGCAGTTCCATAAAGAGTTCACAGTGTCTTAGAATGAGCTTCTGAAGTGCAACCAATTTGGTGATTGATGATGCAGGCAAGGACTTGATACTAGTATAGGACAAATCTACGACTTGGAGATGAGATGGCTGCAAAGACAAAAAAAATGGCATGGCTAACAAGTCTGCCAGATTATACCTTGGATCGCTCTCAGTAAATCCTGATTCATAATTGTCACTAGAGGGAATTGAACCATCCTTGCTATATTCCTTCGCAAACTGAAATTAGGTGATAATCGCAAGTTAAAATCCAATATGTTAGTTGCAGATTTGAAAAATAAACATGAGGAAGAGATAATAGGCCAAACTTTATATTTACATCTTCAAGATTATTATTTTCAATGATTAACACTCTCTATTATTTCTTTTCTTTAGTCAACATCTTAAATAATTCAAAACAAAAATAATATAATTACAATATTATAAGATATTTCAAATTTATAATATAATATGTTAATATATAATTAATTTTTTTACTTAAATATCTATTTATATTATTATATATATTCATCTAATAATATATCACATTATTTTTTCTAAACAACTAAAAGAATTTAATTAATATCTTATACTTATTTAAAAACATATTATAATTATAAACTTCCAACCAAAATAGTATTGTAACTTGTTGCATTACCAATTTCAAAACCCGCTTTAAACTCAAAATTTGAGAAATGGACCATTTAATCACGTGTACACATTTAACTACTTGACAGTACTAACTG